GCAGCGCGACAACCTTTCCGTGCTGCGACAGACCCCTCCGCTTAGCCATGCTCTCCGGGGCCTGATACCTGCCAAGCAAACCTCAGATCAGACAGAGCACAACCATGTCCTGCGAGGAGCTGGAGAGCAACCTGGTGCCCTTTTCCAGCTCTGCCTCCTGCCATCTTAGCAGCTGCTTTACATTTTATCAGGTGAATATTAATTCCAAGCCTGACTTTTGCCCATATGACATGGAGGTAGTTGCCATGTTACATTCTCCTTGTGCAAGCTCTGGTCTAATATGTATTCCCAACAAACTGTACGGGTTCTGATAAAATGTTCTTGCTGCTTTGCATTGCTGCTTTATGCTGTGCTCGGTTATGCCGGCTGCAAACTTTCTCTGTTGCTAAACACTTGTTTATGAACTTAGATTTATATATCTAGGAGCATATCCTGGGGRAAAAAAAWATGTGGTGTTTATGAAATCAGAGCAAAAAGTATCGGTACAGATTCTCAAAGATGCTAAGAGGAAAAAAAAATGGTGCATCCTATTCCTGTGCACTTAATTGGGATGTGAAACTTCTGTAGCCCTGGGCGGGCTGGTTGCTGTATTCACAGGGCTATAGCTGCTAACTCTTGAATTCTGAACTCCAAGTAAATCCAGATTTAGAAATCAGACTGTAAAGCACCCAATGGAGAATACTTTCCCTTAAGAAAATTAGGTTGTTTCAAGACTGGTTGTTTCTTTTTGTTAAGTAAAATCCGATAGAATTAAGAAATTTTTCTCTGAACATATTGGACTTGGTTGAGATTCATAAATCCTACTAGAAGAGTCACATAAAAAATGACATTACTATGTTCTATAAGTATTCAGAGTAATTTTTGACTTACTCCTTGTCGATTCTGTAGAAATTCCCAGTGATTCATGTGTTCGGTATGATGCGTCTTCCCTGAATTTGCCTAGGGGAATTGCAAAGAAATACCACATTGACAGAAGTGAAATTTCTGTTCACGTTGCTGCTTTTCAGACGCATCTTAACACATCAAATAGAAATCTTTCCAGCTTAGAGTAAGCATCAACGCAGACAAAAGCTCCAGGCAGAAGAAAGGAGAGGTCAGAAGAGCTAGAATACACATTGTGAATGCAGTAGTTAACAGCTGTATGCCCTGAGATAGACTCCCTGTATACGTGCTGAGCAGTTGTATATGTTTCCATTTGTATAGGTCAAAGAGCTTTAGATCTTCATTTTTTTCCTATTCTTTGAAAAATGAAAATGTTCTCAAAATAGATCTAACAAACTTATGTTAAGTTGCATTCAGAATGTTTCTGTATTTACTGTTAGTTATAAATTTCAGTGTTTGTGGCAGCTCTGAGACAAAGCAGGGGGCAGAAAAAGCAGGGAAGTAAAAAGGGTGCTCTTTGCACAGCAGATCTCTAAAACTGAGTCCAAAAATCACTTGCATAATGGGTTAAGTACTTCAATGCAGAGCATCTGACTTTAGCAGGTAATTCTGCTTCCCTGCTCATTTAAATCAGTGCAGTCAGATCCAAGTCCTGAATTTGCAGCTCTGTTCAAATCTGGTCACTGCAGGTTATTTGATATAGGGCTCTTTTGTTTTTCTTTAATTTTGAATCATCTTCTTGCCTTTCTTGGAGTTTAATCTATTAGGTAGAGTTTCAAGTGACATTTGCTTTTGTCTGATTATATCAGGTAGAAAATGAAAGGTTAACTGTTAACAAAACCTGGTGCCATGAGGGCTGTTGATTAGAAGAAGGGCAACCTGCACGAAGAGTTGGCCCATTGATGTTTGCAAGTTTTGCTCCAGGAGCAGTTTTATTTACTCTAAATCAGRGATATTTAGTCTATTTAGTATTATAGAATTAAAAGTGGCCCTTTGAAGAGAACCTGGAAGGTTTTTTGTGTCCTGACTGGCACAAAGGTCTGAGGAGAGAAGCTCCTTGCTCCCATCAGAAACTGTTTGCTAGGTGATTTGGGGCAATCACATCCTTGGAGGAACCAGTAGCTGCAGAAGTTCGAGTTGCTCACCCAGATGCATCTCAACTGGCAACTCAGTTCTTCGCTGGGAGGATGCCCTGCTTGGGGTGTCTGTGGTGGGCAGCTGTGGCTAAGGTCACCTTGGTGCCCATACTCGTGTCTTTGATCTGCCTTCATCCCATCTGGAGTTGATGGATGCAAGTGTGGATTGGCCCAGGACCATGGAGGAATGGGGTCGCTATGAGCTATGAGACAAGCTGCAGGTGGTTTGGAGAAGAAGACAAATTAATTCTGCAGGAGGAATGTGGGGGCTTTTGGTACAAGTGGTGGAAAAGGTGGAAGAACAAGGCCATGACACTGTTCTTGCCCTGGAAGGGACCTCCCCATGGGATGTGAGGAGTCCAGGGTGCCACTGAGGAGCAGAGCAGAGTGACAAGTGACTCCCAGCTGCAGGACACCCTGGCCTGGTGGGGAATAATAAGCTGACAGACTTATCTGCTTCCCCTGGACATCCATCAGCAGCAGAAACTCATCTGTGATCTGGCTAATATATAGACATACCCATTTTTCCACAGGAAAAAAGAAAACATTTACAACATTTCTTTGCTTTTCCGGCCACCCCAAGGCTGCTCAAAGCCCTTTGCAGCAGGTTCCTTGTGCCATTTCACAGCCCGGAGCAGGGCCGGGTGCAGGACCTGGACAAGAGCTTTGCCGGGAGGGCAGAGGACGGATGCAGCATTGCAGGATGCTCCAGGGAAAGCAGAGGCAGGGGGACACTTCCCACCTCTGCTGCTGGGTGCTGAGACYGCCTGTTTGTGCACATGAATTTCTTGGGCTCCTGGCGGTGAGTGCAACCTGYGGTTTTCCCTATTGTGCACTTCTTTAGTGCACTTTGTACTTTCCTGGCGCAATTTATCGCTTTTCACATCAACTACGGTTAAAATCAGTGCCACATGTTAGCAAGGCAGTATTAAAAGTTCCCGTTCAAATCTTTTACCGGCAGGGACTTTGTTCTCAAAGCATTAATCACCATAAATAAAGAGTTTCAACATAAATTTGGGGGATTTAAGTCTGATTTCTTGATAAATCAGAAGTTTGATGAATCCCTGAGAAATCCCTCRGGTACCTGCCATTTCCTCCTCTTTGCAAGTTGAAGACTATTCACCACTCCTTTTGTTRAGCCTTTATGAAAGTTCCTTGTCCTGATTTCCTCATTCTTACCATTATCCTTCTTTAATCAGTGTTATAGAGGCTTTCTTCTCACACAGTGAAAAGATATAGGCTGMTATCGTATCTTTAGTTTCTTATATCTTTAAAGTTTCTGTACTCCAGCCCATAACTTTGAATTTGGATTTTTAGGCAAGCAGGACTGTGATAGGGAATMCTTTAGAGCTACAGTTTTCCTATATCTATCTACCTTTCCTGTTCCTGGATAACTCTCTGGAGATAAATTTTTACAGGAGAGAGGTGGTACCAGCTACGTGGACCATCTCACAGAAGAGACRGTAAAAAATTATGGTAAATTAGCTTATTACAGTCAGGTTTCTARGCCTTTACCCTTCTTGCCTTCACGATACAGTGGTTCTGCTGGGGTTGATGGAGTTACGCTGGTGGGAAAATGTGAGATGCTGGGGTAAAGGTAAGGTCTCTTCTCAGTGAGTACAGCAGAAAAGGATGGCATCCRTGTTTGCTTTCCATGATGCCCATGGGATCCTTCAGCTTAGTTCTGCATGCCTGGATCCTAAGCAACAGTTTGCTTGGCATGTCTCCTAAGGCGGCTTTAGGGCACCTGCTGTAGTGGGTGGTTTGTAGGGGTGACTATCTCTTTCTAAGGTTGTCCCATTCTTTTCTTTAAGGACTCTGAGGATACAAGCCTGCCTCTTTCTTTCATGTCTTGCCTGATGCCAAGACCACCAGTTAAAAAGCTTAGAGCTGGAAAAAGTAGTGTGTGAGCGTGAAGGCCCTCACTAGATCTCTCTGGAATGTAATTTTTCAAATCTCGGTGGAGTTGACTAAATGGGGAGCTATTAATGCCATACAGAAAGAAGTAGGGCTGCCMCTGGCATTAGCAAGGCAGAGGAGGTCAGGGACAGCGCTGCTCGCCCTGGGGAGGCTCTCAGCCTTCTCTGAGCTGCTCCCCAAATACCAGCAGCATTTTGGCAATGAGTTTCAGCTGTCCTTTTCCCTCTCATTCTGCCATACCTTATGATCCCAGGGTGCTGCTGCGTCTTTGGGAACACAWCATCTCCTCTAGCACCTCTTATCACCCAGTGCTTTGGCAGAGCTGGTGACACAGAAGTGAGTGGCCTCCCACCTGCTCCATTGTCATCCATGATCACGGATGCAGGAGGAGGAAACTGCAGAGGAACCAGAGGCTCCGATGCCCATGACCCAACTGTACCCAGGATCAGCCTCCTCCTGTCCTCGTGAATATTTTATGGGTGCACTCGAAATATGAAAAGCCATGGKCGAGGGGCCAGGCTGCCTCCTTAAGCCAGGTCTGCCTGGAAAATAACCCTCGAGGCGGCTGCCGAGCGGGCCTGGCTGCAGCTCCGCTTGTACCTTGGTGCWCTAGACCTTGAAGATGTTTCACTCTTTGTTTTCCTTTGGTTGTCATAACTCAATGGCCGTGAAAAGGGATAAATTAGCATCTCYAAAGACTCCGAGCCTCTCTCTATTCTGGAAGGGAGCAGAGAGCAGGTAGCAGTAGTTCAGGCTCTCTCAACCCGCTGTGCCCAAAGAGGTCCCCTGAAAGCAGCCCCAGCGCTGGCTAGTCTGGRTGTGGTGCGAGCCCCTCAGGATTTAAGCCTTGGCTGAGTCTGTGAGCAAGGAGATCAAGGCAATTTCTTAGATGAGGAGACTAAGAGGGCTCAGCAGGTCATCCAGGCTGATAACTGCATGGATTTCAGCTTGGATTGAGTGCAATACCTTATATTTGATAGAAATCTCTTGAGACTGTGCTGTTCCAGAGGTGCCTAGTGATAAACGTCACAGCGCAAAGCACAGACCACACCCTGCACAGGAATCCCAAGTCTGGGACTTTATTTATAAAATGACACATACAGAGACACATAGTCCTGAGCCATACCAGCTCAGCAGGGTCAATTTACTAGGCAGGGCACATGGAGAGCTTGGAAAATGACGGAGCTAGCTTGCCAGGGGTGCTTGCTATGCACAAAGCCTCTGTACATACTGCCGTGGGGAGCACGCTTGTGTCCTCCCATTGCTGAATGTATGTTGATGGATGCCACCATGCTACGTAGAGACTCGAACGAGAACTTTTCCCCTAACTTGGATGGAGGAGATGAGGACGGCTTGGTGGGATGATGTAGCCTTGGAGAGTGCTCAGGGACAACTTGCGCGCAAACACCCACTAAAGTGTTCAAGAGGTGTCTCCATTCCCCTGCTCATCTCCTTCCAGATGCACTAAAAGCCATGGAGGGGTTAAACTTCCTTCTTTCTGGGGTTATCCCTAGATCATTCCTGCCAGCCAGGGCGGGAGGAAGAGCCCGACAGTTCCCAGCAGGCACACGATGATGAACATCCAGAGAAAGATCCGGTCGATGACCATTGCAACGTACTTCCAGTCTTCCTTCACCTGGGAGAAGGAGAGGACAGAGAGGAAAGGCTGGTTATTGATGCTCTATCCAAATTAAAGCTTAGGAAGACTATTGGTGTGTCATTCCAAAATACAGTGTTTTAATCTAGCTCTGGAGAGYGGGGCAAGGAGGATTCTTGTCCGTGCAACCATCCTGTTCACTGGCAAAGATTTGTTTTGGGGACATGGGCCAGATTTCCAGACTCGCAGGGTTTGTGCAATTGCAGACCCTGATGGATAATTAAGCTTGTCTACACATTCCATCCCATTTCCTGTGAGCAACAGCTGTAATTGGGTGTGTATTCAAGTTGAGTGGGAAAGAAGTCTTAATTTTTCTAGACTCACTTATAGGTTACTGAAGCCAAAATCTTTTTGAGAAGGGATTTACTGCTTTGACAAAGGAGTGAAAATGAAGTAGCAAATGAAAGTAGTGGGCTTCTTCACCCTGTTTTTTCCCCTAGTTTTGCTTTGCTGTGGGAGGGTTTTCCAGCGAGTCCTCACTGAGGAGGTCTAATTTATCCCCTCAGGAAAGACTTGGTGTAAACGGCGATTTCATTAAGTGAGGAAACACATGTGCACAAAAGCCTCTCATTATATTACTGTTATTAATTGCTTTCCCAGGCAGAGGCCTGATCAGATGGCAGCGTTTTAATTGGCGCGGCTGTTCTAATGGAGCATTCCATGGTGCAGAGCAGCCCTGCCATTGCCTGGAGCTCTGCGCCGGGATTTGGACTGCAGCCAGGCTCTCGAGGACACGAGTCTCATGCGGAGCAGCTCCAACCTCCCCAGGGATGAGGGCGAACCGGCTCCTAGGACAGGACTAGAATCAATTGGCAGTAGAGATTTTTTTTTTTTTTAAGGATTTAATTTGCTGAATGTGTTCAGAATCCACTCAGGCGAAGGRAGCCATGTGAGCATCAGTGAAGAGCCGTTTGCAGCTTAGCTGTAGATGGTGTTTTCAGCGGCAGCTTCATTTTATAGAATTTTATCATTTGTCAAGCATTTGCAGAAAGATGCTTTCTGAGCGCAACTCATTGACTCTGTGCACTAGCCTGGAGTCTTTTCTTCCTTCCTCAGTCATGGATKCATCACCAAATTCATACCTTGTGGGGAGCTCACAAAAATCAGGATGTGTCAGGAGAGAAAACACACCCCTGGCTTCGGTGACAAATGCTGAGATGTTTTCCTGAGCTAATAGAATTATTTGTTGCAGGCAGGGTATTGCATTTGCCTCGTTTTTGGCGTGTTCAGCCCTTCACAAACTAATTCTGAGTCTTGGAATGTATTTGCTGAGCAGCTGTGTTCATCTGTGCCTTGACACAGGCAGCCTCCAGCTGAAGCAGTGCCTGCAAAGGGATCACTGCAACTACAATTAACTGATTAGTTGCTTTAGGGCATCTGGACTCGCTTCAGCTCCCTGGCTCAGGAAGCAGCTTTGTAAATGGGGAAATAAAAGGTGAGTAGTGGAGAACAGGTCATACTTGCCCGTAATTTGTTCTCTGAACAAATCTTAGATTTTTTGCAATACCTGGCTGTTTTCAGAAGCGTAACGATCAGTTATATATTTTCACGCAAGGGGTAATTTTATTCACTTTAAAAACAGCATTGACTTAAGCAGATCTTTATCATTGAATGGAGAGGTAATCAACGACTGCTCCCAAACCTCATTACCTTCCTGGGGGAAACTATGTTWTTTTACAATACCTAGCACAATGTTTTGCAATTAGGGAGCGTAAAAGCAATAGTAACTCTCAAAATTCAAAGGAAAGGTCACAGCAGATAATATTCTTTTGCTGTACTATTTTTCTGGTTTAGTCATTGTTTGCAGAGAGCTGGGGTGACACTCAGGCTGATGGTTCATATTCCTGGTGGGAAGGATGGCTAAGCAAGCTCTGAGTGTTTGCATTCCAGGGCTTAGYGGCTCATGATGTAACCAGAGAACAAATAATATTTGCATTTTRCCATCTAATGCCAGCTGCGAGACTGTAATGAACAAATATTCCCCATTCTAGTGAAGTAATAATCTTAAAAAAAAAAGTGGTAAGAGCTCACTCCAAGAAAGGACATAAGTTATAGGAGTTGCTCTTTAAGAAAAAAAGGGGAATGGGWGCAGAGGAGCAACCTAAAGAGTTCAAGAGCTGCTTGCATTTGGATGTAATGGCACAAATAGCCAGTCTCAGAAATGATGGCTGGGAGTTCAGGTGTTTGTAAATCAATGGCCATTTTCAGACTGAGAGCACACAGAAGGGCAAAACTGGAAATTATGGAGATACTGTGAGAAAATAGAGCAGAAAGATATATATATATATACACACTATATATATATATATATATATATATAAAAATATATATACACACACACACACACGTATAATACACACACATATAAATATACATATTTTATATATAGTATATAATTATAATATATATTATAATTATATATTATACTTATTTTATATATAATATATATCATATATCATATACTATATATATTGTAATATAATATATATGTTTATATATTAGATATTAGATATTAGATATTAGATATATTTTTTTCCTGGCTGCGTGGTAGCGTGCCTTTAACGGGCACTCTCCAGCAGCTCACGTGGCACACGTTCTGCAGCAGCAGCTCTGCCAGCACAAGGGCAGCTGTCAACATCTGGCAGCCCAAGTTCCGCTCTGAATTTTGATTAGTTTTTAAGAAGCTCGCTCGGAACTGCTTTCGGGAAAGGATCAGGGGCAGGAACCAGCTGACGCCTCYGTCCCCAAAATCTCGAAGCCTTCAGGAATCTGCAGCTCTGGTGGAGCCCATGGAGCTGCTTCCCTGGTGCAGCTCCTTCCAAATCATGGGACTGGGTGGGTAGGTGGGACCTCCAAGGAGCAGCTGATGCCCATGAGCAGGAGAAACACAGGCTAGAGCAATCCTGCGTGGGGCTTGTTGTACTTTATTAAAAATAAAACAGTGAGATTACCCTGTATTCCATCCCCCTCAGATTTATTTTTCTCCCATTTTTATTTTTAAGCCGTCTTCAAAGACTTTCTATTAGAGCAATCAGGAGAGAGACTGATGCAGTCACGAGGACAATGAGGCTTTCCCGACCGGAGTGTTGGTCGTCTGGTTATTTTGGCTCATGTGTGACATGCAGCTTGTCTTGCTTCCCAGTCGATAATTAATTTGTAATGGTATTTTTAACATATGCTGGGATGATTCAGTCTTCTTGTATTCCACCCGCTCCGCTCCTTTGTGTCTGTGTTGTTTGCAGATATTTTTTGCAGCAGACAACTGCTTCTTACATTTCCCATTTTCTCTTTGCTGAAGCACTTAATTAAACAAGCTATTTGCTTTTAATTTAGAAACATTGCCCTGTGGCAATGATGCTTTAGAAAAGAAAAAGGCTTCGGAAAAAGCCCTGTTCCTGTTCTGGAGTGGTGCGTGTCTCTAACAGTACTGCCCAAGCGAGCTGCAACCAAGGGGCTGCATCTACATCYGAGGTGAAGCTGATTTTTTTGGTTTGTTTTTGGAAACTTCCATCCCAGGAAGAAATGCCACAGTTTGAGTTTTTAAGATGAAGACAAGTTTCAAATACTTATTTGTTTTTTCCCCAAATTCCCCATTTCATTAGCTCAGCTCTGTTCCTTTCTTCAGTTTCAGGTGATAGTATTTCTTACTTCTCCCTCGTTTCCATCCAGAGAAAAGGTGGATCCCAAACAAGTTGGGATCTTGTTTGGGATGAAGTTTGGGATCTTGTTTGGATCCCAAGGAAGAAAAAGAACTATGGAATCTCAACACTAGGCTCAGCAATTATTGATCCAAATCTGCAGCACTGGACTCTGCCCTCAGTGCAACCCACGACTGATGTGAAAGAGCAGAAAACTGCACACAGATGGGCACTCCAGCTTACCTCGATGCCAGGACGGGGGCGATTGCTTCTCTCTTGCTTTCTGAGGATATTGCCAAGCTCCCCATGATCTGAGATGCTGGTGGGGCCATTTGGCAAGCAAAGGAGCCCGTTTCATGCCACAGCTTGGCCACGCTGTTCCGCTGCAGCCTGGTGCCTCGCTGCTCCTGGCAGTGGTTCCTCAGCGCCTCCCTTCGCCGTCACCTGCAGGTTTCAATGGGGCTTTTGCCAGAGGGATGAGCAGCCAAAAATGGTCTGGTTGGAGCCAGCGTGGCTGCTTCTCCACTGCTGCTTTTCATGCTCAGCACTGGGGAATAACTGCCTGGGATAATTGCTTCATTGCAAGAGGGAAGACTACTGGAAGGGGTAAGAAAATAGGTGGACTCTGAAGACTATTTTAATTTTAAAGAAATTTGAACTCTTGGATTACAAAGAAAGGATCCAYGATGCTTATTGACTCAGTTCTTGTTTGATAGCTACAAGCTCCYCAGAAGGAGGATCGGTAGAAATGAGAAGACTCATTGGGGCAATATTCTTCAATTGCACCAAGGGGACGGGCATGGTTCGGAAACAACCAAATTGCTTAAATTTACTTGTGATTACTCCTACTGGGGTAGAGCAGAGTTAAACTTCATAGTTCTGAAGCATCTGTGAAGGGCCTTAGCAAAGAGAGCTGGGCTGTTGCGTGGTGGAGGTGGCGATTCACAGCCCTTCTCTGCCGCAGGTTTGTTCTACAACCTTAAACAAGTCACCTCGCCTCTGTTTTTTGGCTCTCAGTCCTCAAAATAAGGAATAAACAGCAAGTCCCTCAAAGGGATGTCGTGAATTGAAAGATATTAAGGAACAGAATCATCTAGGTGGTAGCAAAGGGTGCATAAGTGGATAGCAGCACGTAAACTGTTGTTGATGCTGCTTACAGAGCAAGTGCTCAGTGCTGTGAAGAACGCAAATGTAAGAAGACAGACTTCATGCCCGAGACATCCTGCATAAAAACACCGAGACGTACGTCAACTGCAAATCTTAAGCCAACCAAATCATAAATATAGACCAAAAAAAAAGGTCTTTGTTGACAGATCTCTTTGGGAAAAGCCAGRTAAGACTTTTCTTTAATGCAAGAATACCTCAGCTTATCTTGTGGCATCCTCCAGCACTGCTATAATGAAGGGGCACACTGTATCCCTAGAGCCATGCGGACAGAGGGACAAGAGCCGCAGGCGGCCGTGATGCACGTGTGCCTTTCAATTATCATTAGTGTAATAAGTGCGTTGAGTCTCTCTGTAACTTCTCGAGCTTTTAGACGCATTTACCCCTTTAGAATATGTGGAAAATTGGTGTGTCCACTCACCTTCCTGCATATAGATCTGCCTAACCTGCCCACTAATCAAGAGCCATGTCCTGCAGAGCCAAGCACACCTTGTGACCAGGGTGGGAGATGGTGGGGCTGGTGGATGATGGATGATGATGGGGAGGTGGCAGAGTCTGCATTAGCAAATATCTGATAGCTGTATAGCCCACAGGTTTGGTCGGTTTCCCTTAGGGGATGATTTTTAATTTACCCAAGGATAAGAGGCGAAATTAGRACACTTACTGAGAAATCTGCGTCTTCTGCTCGTAGGTGGTCCGCGATATAATGAACGCCTTCCACCGCCAGCTTCAAGGCAGGAGACATCAACAGAAGGTGCTGCTCTTTGGCGCTGTGAGTGTTGGTCCCTTGGCCTGTCGTGCCAGTGGCCTCATTCCTTTTGCACTTACATTTGCACTGATAGGGTTTGTGCTGGGGCTGTTCTTCATTCAGGTGGCACCTCTGGGAAGCTGGAGAGCCGCTGGATTGGCCGTTGGTTTGGGAGGAATCTTCCTGCAGGTAGCAATACTGGATGCTGCGGGACCTGCAGCGGATGCTCCCTTCCTCTGCTTTGTTGGGACTGTACATCTGCTGAACACTCAACGACCGGCCTTTGGAGACGGACGTGCTCTGGGTGTCGCTCAGAGGGTGGCACGGGGACTGCGGCGAGGAGCAGGACACCTGAACGGGCTCTGGGTGCAGCACGGTGTACTGGCCAGAAGGGGATTTGCAGACAGGCTGCGTCTTGGCTGGCTCCTCGAGGTGGCTGCAGAAGGAAGGTGAGGGTGATGGCTCRTTACTCTGGGGGCTTGGGGAAGATGAGGTGGGGAAATTGGGCTCCATGTCCGTCTCAGACCAACCCCTTGGTGCGTTGGTCATTTTGTGCATGGATTCAATGAGTTTCTTGCAGTTGTCTTTCACTGCAGAGGGCCGCTTCATGAAAAGGAGCCGTGGGACTATGTCAAGGAAGATCCTCCTCACCCAGTCAGGCATGGTGTGGGTGCGTGGGGAGCGGTGGTGCACGTTGAGCACAAACACGGTGATGATGATAGACAAGGTGACAAATATCATGGTGAAGAGCAGGTACTCTCCAATCAGGGGGATGACCAAGGAAGTTGAAGGGATGATCTCGGTGATGAGCAGCAGGAACACAGTGAGTGACAGCAGCACCGAGATGCACAAAGTTATCTTCTCTCCACACTCGGAGGGCAAGTAGAAGACCAAGACCGTCAGGCACGAGATAAGCAGGCAGGGGATGATCAGGTTGATTGTGTAGAACAAGGGCAACCTCCTGATGATGAAGGAGTAAGTTATATCAGGGTAGATTTCTGTGCAGCATTCATATTTCTTGCTGTTGTAGTTGCCCACCGCATTTATGATGACCCATTCCCCACTCTCCCAGTAGTCGAGCTGGTCCACGTGGCTGTGCATGCTCACCAGGTCTATCTTGGCCTTGTCATAGGTCCAGGAGCCAAACTTCATCKTACAGTTTTGCTGGTCAAAGGGGAAGAACGTAACGTCAATGCTGCAGGAGCTTTTATAGATAGCAGGTGGCATCCATTTAATTCTCCCATCATAGAAGAGGTGGGCCTTGGTCAGATGGGTGACTGCAAAGTCACCATCAGCACTAGAGAGATAGAGAGAGATAATATGAGAAAAGGCTGAGGGGATTGTGCCTTCAAAGCTTGCAAAYTAGCAATTACATTGGACAAGTGACCCAGACAACAATCCAGGATTTTACATCAGCAAGTCTGTGGCAATCACTGTCTCTACAGCAGTGTCCATCCTCCAGGCTCTTGGGGAGGATCTGCAACCTGCATTAGTTCACCCAAAGAGGCAATACTGAAGCATACACACGTGCTCAAGCAGCGTACCTCCTTGTTCCAATAATCATCATGAAAGGATCTCTGTTTTCAAGTAATAAAATTATCCATTCTCTTGAAGGTGAGCCAGATCCTTAGGTAGGTAGCCTTTCTGCATAAGGATTCTCCAAAACTTTAAGCTCTCTCTCTCTCTTAACCCTATGCAGACAGTTTTGGTATCTGCACACAGTGACAGACCCTGACCCAACCTCTCTGATCTGAGCAGTGATGACACTTGGGCACAGCTGCAAATTTTTCATCCTGAATGAGCGTCTAAAAAGAGTCAGTCCAAGAGGCAGAAAGAGTGTGGGAAGCTGAACCCTCTGAAGAACAACGGCCCCAAGTTTCCCTCTTGGATAYGAAGCAAGAAGCCAACTGCAAGCAGCAGAGTGACGGCAAAGAGCAGTGATACTAAAAGGCAGAGAAGCCAGGGAGAGAAAGGAGAGATAAGACCTTGAGATGAATTATTCARTGCAATATAGCTGGAAAGCTGCCTGCCAAACCCCCGGCTGGGGCCGACCTCGGCTGCAGGGTCTGCTCCTCGGTGCAGCTCCACTGCGCTGGGCTCAGAGCCCTCCTCTTCCTCACCACAGAACCTGCATTGGGAACATCCCTCAGGATCCTTTCCAGCCGCTGGAAACACAGGCAGACCCCCCCCCCGAGATCAGAGCACCAACCTTCAGCTCTGAGCTACTTTTCCAGGTTTGTTGAAATAACAGAAAAGCAAATTCAGAATTATTGCTTGGTATGAAACAGGGGGTAACTAAAACTTATTCTTTCTGTAATGGAAATTCTTAATTCTTTGTGACAGATTTTGGAAAACAAAACTGCACAGAAGGATTTGGTCCTTTTTGTCCTCCGGACTTTCTCTAAAAACATTCCTGTTTTTGTTTTTTAAGACAGAAAAGCTAAAAATATGCACAAACTTATGCTGCCGTCCCTAAGGGTTGAGGCAAAAAACACCATTGCCTTTTCCCCAGCATGTAGGAAAGAGTGTCCAAATCCTCTTTCCTCTCCTCTCCTCTCTCCTTTCCTTTCCTTTCCTTTCCTTTCCTTTCCTTTCCTTTCCTTTCCTTTCCTTTCCTTTTCTTTTCTTTTCTTTTCTTTTCTTTTCTTTTCTTNTTTCTTTTCTTTTCTTTTCTTTTCTTTTCTTTTCTTTTCTTTTCTTTTCTTTTCTTTTCTTTTCTTTTCTTTTCTTTTCTTTTCTTTTCTTTTCTCTATTCTTTTCTTTCTTACACCTAATTTACAATCTAGGACCACTTTCTCTGACTAAAATCTATGTTTTGTCCTCCTGGGTTTGCCAGCCCTGTGAAGCCAGATTGAGGCATTAACCACACAGCAAGTGACACTCCAGCATTCACTGTTTTTGGTGGGTTTCCTCCTAAATCTCAGCAGGAATTTGGAAGTCAATTCTCCATTTAATGAGATCTCTGAGGTACAATTAAATCATTCATTAACAGAACAATATGTTTATAATTGGACTTAMATCAGCAAAAAGAGATAATGAGCATCCACCAGTGTTTTCCCTCTTAGGTAGAGCATTGTATAAGTGGTCAGATAAATAATATGCAGGTATATTTTTCATTTTGAAAACTGCTGGAAAACTTTCAGGTTCTGGTTACTTGTGGAGATGAGATGCTCCTGCATTAAGCTCTGCAGGCTCTGGACACACTCATGGTATCTTCTTTGCTGTGCAGAAATGCACCCCTGAAGTTTGGGGTCAGGGTAAAATGCAAAAAAGGGTAGGGAATAAATTGACTGGCGAGCAGGGCATGACATTTGTTATAAACAGGGTTGCTGCTTTGATGAGAAAAGGTTTCCTTTTTTTTTTTTCCTATTTGTTTTTCTCACATATCTTTTAGGTTCACATGTTATTACAAATAATAATTCATTGTCATTGCGGGAGGGAAAGCTGGAGCAAAATTGCTCCTTGCAACCCGGAGTCACCTAGTGACTCCTTGAGAAGCCACAAAACATCCCAAGAACCTCCTGCTTTTCCCTTCGCAACCTCGTAGAGCTGTGAAGCAGATCCACTGGCTTCAGGTAGGCTTTATTGGACGTGTTTGAGCTTCTCATGAAGCTCAGAGTAGAGATAGCCGAGTAATTGGTAAGCGGGGGTAAATTAGTCATGCTGCTGTAGATGGATTGCATCCGAGCTAGCTCTACTGTGCAGTGATAGTGGTGGCACTTGTCTTGGTCCTTTGTGCTATATATGTATATCTATAAATACATATATACATATATATATAACGAGATACATATATATGGCATATATATGTATTTTTTAGTGTGTATATATATATATATATTTATTTGTAATTTGCCAGGCATCATACCACCCACACAGTACGAGCATGTTTACTGGATTTGAAGCTATGCCAGCAGTGTGGGTTTCCTCCTAGAGAGAGGCCTTCTTTCCGGGTGAATCCTTCATGTTAAGACAGCCAACGGGGTCACCCAACTGCYGATGGACTTTCAGAGCCTTTCCCCTATCGTTTCCTCCAAGAAACGACGTTGTGCCAATTGACTGCAAAGCCTGAGGAGACCCTGTTTGCTTGTAGAAGCTTTTGCTGTGGGGAAGCCAACTCTCAGCCAAGTCACCCCAACAGCTCTGACTGTGAAATGTGAGTTTTGCCTTAGACAGCAAGGAGATCTGGTATAGTGGGACAGAGAAGATGTGTTTTTGTAGCCATGCCTTTGTAGTGGTGACACATTTTCCTCTTATTGAGCCTAGACCGTAATGTTGTGACAGTTGTCAGGAAAAACCATTTGGAAGAAAGAGCTGGTAAGAGAGGTAAACGGCACAGCAAGGACTCGGGAGAATTAAGACAGCCAGGCTCTCCTGATTGCTTTGACCTGACAGCCCTAAACACCTGTCAGTAATAAAGTACCAGAGCTCTCATATTTTCATGTCAAATACAATAGTGCACATCAATAAAGGCAGAAGACAGATGCTTTTTTTCCTTTTCTGCTGGATATACTTCTTTGATACTTTGATTGCACATTTCTAGAATAAATGCTTTACTTTTGAGAACTTCGAGTTTTTAAAGGTTCAAGAACAGCACTGTTTTGCTGGCAGACGTCAACTTTGCTTCATTAAAAAGCTCTGCTGATGGGGAATTTCTTTGCCAGCTTTTATTTCTCCAGCAGTTGGGAGATACATCATCTCACAAATTAAATGTTTTCAGAATGCATGCAAATGAGGCACACATTTATTTTAATTTCTGATTATATAATTTAAATCCAAACTGAGCTTTAAAAGCCCGAAAAATTAACTATATGCATATAAGGCTATAGCTACAATGCCCCTCATTTAAAGCTTTTTTCATCTAACAGCACTAACCAATCCAGAAGGGGGTCATAAGACCCTTCAAAAGACTCTGGTAAACATTAGACTCATCTGTGATATTCAGATTAACTTATTTTTCAAAAGCAAAAGACAGAATTCTTTGCTCAGCAATTTGSACTGTCAAAATGGTCATGACAAATTCATAGGATCATAGCAACCTCAATTGTTCTATGGAACCTTTGGAGATTGTCTAGTCCAAAGCAGGGCCAGCTACAGCAGGTTGCTCAGGACCTTGTCCACTTGGGTTGTGAATATCCCTAAGATGTTGTCTCCTTGGTTACAAGACAGATGAGTCCACCTACATCTTAGGTAAACAGATGGAGATATCTATGCTGAGATGTGTACGTCTGTAGAKATGGACTTCTGTCGAGCCCAGCTCAGGTTTTGCTTGCTTCACATGTTTTTAAATCACTGGTAATGGAAATTCCTCCTATTCCTCAGTAAAATGARCATCTGCCTCAGAAATGGCAGTACTACAATGAGAATTTTATGCTTGTTTCAGCACAGGACTCTARTCAAAGCTCAGTTTGTGCACTTTGAACCTTCCCTTTGACAAGAACCCTCATCAGCTCTTTGGACACAAATTTCTACCTGTCTCAAGAATAAAGGTAGGAGAAAGGCTTGGATGTTAGCTCAGCAACAGAGCGTGAGAGAGATCTCTTTTACAGATTTCCTTCTATTGGTTTCTGCATTGCTGGAAAGATCTTGAGGGCAAATCTCAAAGACATCYAGAAACACAATTTGTCTCTAAAAGCATAGTGATCTTAAAGTCCAGAAGAAGCAGGAAAATCTAAGTGCAAAGTAGCAATTATGGGTCCTTTATAAGCACAATCTAGTGCAAAATTACAAGATAACGCTGGGTTGGGAAGMGTCAATAAACAATGAAAAACATCAAGAATATTTCCAATATTTTTAAGGTTAGACTAGGGCAGCTTCTGGTTTTATTCCACAAGCCTCATTGGCTGCAGACGCAGTAGTATAGTTCAAAAGAACCAGTCACTACAGTGTAGTTCAAAAGAACTTGCCCCTGTCTCATGATTTTCAAAAGCCGCCTACCAGCTGATCTTCTAACCCAGCCCAGTAATCCTGTGTGTCTGGGTGAATTCCTGAAGATACTCCCTGCTCCTAATTACAGAAACTTCTATCTGAATTCTTTTCATGTACARTCTTGCCTTTTATTCTTTTTTGTGTGTGTGTCTGTGAAAGCTAAAGCAGGAATTTGCTAAACTGCTTTAACAACTCGTGGTTAGCTATTCTGGAATAGMTAACACCAGAAAATATTGAGAAAAGGAAAATTCTAAGTCTGAATATTCCCAATAGCTTCTTCTCAGGTATTACAGTCACCAGGTAAAGAAAAGTTGCAGTGTTATCGTGACTATCTAGTCACGACTATCGTGACTATCTAGTGACTAGCGTGACTATCTAGTCAAGAACAAGCCAGCAAAGCTCACATTTCAAATTTAACTTTAAATATACTCAGAAATACACAAAATGTGCTTTAAGTCCATTCATAAACAGGCAAAGAAGTTAATGCAGAGGGTTAGATAATTCATTTATAAATTATTTGATCGTGTCTATAGAGCCTTTACAAGCTCAGCTAGAGAACAGCTGGCCTTCTTGGCAAGGAAAGAGAAAAAGAGGCTCTGCCATCTCAAACTCATATTCCTCCCTTATACATATGTTTTGTCACATCCAGTAGAAACTATTTACAGAGTCTTGGAACTTATCTCATCAAGCCTGAAAACCCAATAGCATATTAATTTCCCCATAGGATATTAATTTGGTTTTAGCTCCCTTATAAATGTTGACAWCTTACAAATACTCTCGAGGCCGAACCAGCCTAGTCTACTTATTTAATTTGGGCCTCTAGAGTGAATAAATGGAAGGTTTTGACAATAATGAGCTCAGATAAGAGTATAATCCGCAAGTCGTTAGGTTTCCTTGAAGATGGAAATCTCAAATCAGTTTAAATTCCACCATTTCTATATATTCGCCAAGATGAAAACAGGAGATGCATTAGCTGATTCTCCTGTCCAGAAGCTCCTTTTTTTCCCCCCCAAACATGGTATCCCAAAGGGAGATGTCATCATCCTGCCAGGGCACCATATATAAGGTCCAACTRAAATAATAACTGGAGCTGGAGGCATGGCTGTTGAACAGGAGACCGAAGTRCAGGATGCTGATTGTACTTCACAAGACAGAAAACAGTCCACGTGAAGTATGTTTGACACTACTTGCAAGAGCATGGGCAAATATAATATTAAAGAGGTGGAGAAGTAATGGAAAACCGTTACTGGCTAATGGTTGGTGCCTACCTACATGTTTAATTCATGGATAAAGTAACCAATTAAAAATGCATGATAGACTCATGGCAACCAACAGCGGAATATATGATTATTGATGATTAATATGGAGGATATAGCTTGGATTTAGAGCTGTAGGGCACTCAGAGGTCCAGAGCATCACAGCAGGGTGGCCAGAGCCTTCTATCTAGCAGAAGGTGAGACAAGGAGGCACATGCAAAGAGTCCAGCAACTCCAGCAGATGAGTGGCTTGGACAATGATGGTCCCATTGAGTGTGGAGGTTTACATAGCACTTTATTTCCTTTGGCACTACTGCCTATCCCAGGAGCCTTCAGAAGCTCCTGCAATGATAATCTTTATCAGTGTCATAAATTAAGCAGTGATTTCTCCACCCCTAAGACAGACAGGCACATTCAGTTCCTCCAGTGCAAGCTGCGAGCACCTTTCTAGGCTGCAATGTGAAGCACTTGTCACATAATATTCTGCCCTGAGYGTGTCCCTGTAGGGTAGGAAGGCCCAAGTGCCTATGAATTAATCATTTTCATTGCTCTAATCTCTCAGAGGTGCTATATGAAGGCTCGGTCACTTCCAAGAGGTTTGCAATCACTCCTTACCTCCAAGGATCAGAAACAAGCTATTGGAAAAGATAACAATATCAATAGTTTGCAAAGCTCACAATCCCCCAGACAGGTTTCTCCCTCAGCCAATTCTTGGGAAAACAAAAGCAAAATTGTATCAAACTAGGACCAGACAACTGTTCATTAAAAAGAGTCTGCCTTTCATGGTGAGCATTGTCTTTGAGTGCTAGCCATGGACAAAGACATTTTTGTTTGAGGCTTGCAGCCAGTGTTTTCCCTGGAGCAGGTGCTGGATCGGGAAGCTGAGCTATTTCAGCATCCGAGAAGACTGGAGAGCTCTGGTGCGATAAGCAAAGTCTAGGAGAAAAATTATTAATCTTGGGATGTGGACACCCTTTCCGAGAATATGGGCTCCATAGGAAAGGAAAGAAAACTTGCCCCTTAGGAAACTTGCCCCATAGAAAATAAACTTGCCCCATAGAAAAGAAAGCCACTGCCCCAACCAAAGCCTGCATGTGGGAGACAGATTTCGAGCATTTGGATTTCAGGTACAAACATCTGTCTGGAATAAAACCCTAGCATTGCATTGCACTGACCTGGAAACTAACATTCAAGCTTTGCCTTAGCAGAGAGTTTCTAAGATGGGTTTCTAGTCACCCTGCTCACACTCACTTGTTGTAGAGGACAATATCCGGCCTCCAGATGAGCTCTGAGGGGATTCGGATGGACGTGACGTTCTCGTACTCTTGGGGGTCCCAGCGCAGCTTGTAGTCGTGCCATTCCTRCCCAAAACAAGGTGGTTGCCAAGCTGGGCGGGTTTGGATTGCCAGACTGAGGGGGAACGGGGAAAAGCACGTATTGTGGTGCACCCACCTGCTTCACCCACACATTCGTGGTCATCATCTGATTCTTCTCGTCCTAAAAGGCAAGATCAGGCTTCCGTTACTGGAACARGTCAAGTAGCCCAAAGAACGCATGAAACTTTTCCTAACTGTAATGCATTTCATAAATACCTCAGGAATAAATGCAATCGTTATCTTGGAAATAAAAACCAGATGTTTCTGCCAGTTAACATGGGAGAGGGCACAGCTGTTTGATACTCCTGAGCAGCTGAGCCTGCACCGAAGCGATCCTGTGGGCAGAGCAATTGAAATTGTTGGAATTTGTCTCAGTGCCGATGGATTCAGCCTGGGACCACGGGACAGGCGGAGGAAAATGCTCCAGGTCGGCTCTGACCTCAGCACAGAGGGAAGGGACGGCCAGTTAAATACATTCCCCCTCATATGTTGCGTATACACCACGTACGGATGATATTAGCTTTATATGCAAGCACTTATATGGTGAAACGTTATTGATACAGGCAGTTCTGGAACCCTGAAGCTCAATAGTGTTCCTCTTTCTGCAAAATACATGAGCTTAGTCGGGGCTGACTTTCATGGGCAAACCCGAGTGGCACATAACCTTTTGAAAATCCATCATCGGGTGCATACCCATGCAGTGAATGGACAGACTTTTTTTCCACTTCCAGGCATAAGAAGGTAAAAATACACACATAATTTTAAATAATGCATGGCAGATACAATGCTGGCAGCCCTGTAGTAGAATTAGTTACTATTTGCTGCTTGTCTTTCGTGCTGATTACAATCCTTGTGTAAATAACCGAGGTGAACTACTGGGGCAGAGCCTAGAGCTTGCCCAATTAAAGTGCTGCAGCAGAGCGAAGAGCTGATTTGCCTGTTTATCTGCTTTTGCTTCCTCTTTGGCCTGGCGTCAAAAGCTGCGGGGCTGACAGGGCTCCTTTGGACCAAACCACTCATCGTTAACCTCACTCTCCTGTGAGGTTAATGAATTCTGAATATTAAAAGCCRTGAGATTCCCTGGTGGAAGTTCCTGCTCGCTGTAGACCTCGACACTGCACCCAACGGCAGGAGGATCCGCAAGGTGCTAGAGACACGGAGATGGGACCTAGGAGCCCACGCGTGGTTCTCAGGGGCTGCTCCTAGACTCGTGCCTTGATCCCCTCCATCCTCCCTGGTCTCYGAATAGCCTCAGGGCACTGGGGTGGGCTAAGAGATGCCAGTTTGATTGTTTTCTCCCTGGTATCTGGGTACGGTTCTGATTTCTCTTCTCCTCCAATCCCTGCCATACCACGAGCCCCTCTGCAGAGCTGCCTGCCAGCTGCGCTCCTAAAAACTGACAGGATTTTTAAATCACGTCTTCTTAAGGACCCTGGGACCAGCACTGCGAAACGTGCGCATTGATCCCACGCCTGCACCATTCAGCAGGTGCAGAACAGAGCGTCTCCCTCCTGCCTCCAGCGTCACCAATGCCTCATTTGGCCTTATCAATTATTCAGATTTAAACCGTACAGTTCCAGCAGCAGCAGACAGCCCTGGAGCCCCCAGGCTCACGTAGGGAGGAGGGAACGTCTCTGCTGGATGCCAATGCTTTTGCACAGAAGATGCTGCAAAACTCGAGGAACTCATGGGTTTGATTTCCCAGCTCCTGGCTAAGCCGGGCTGATGCCCTTGCCTCCCATGTGAGCCCAGCAGCCCCAAATATTACTTTTCCCTATGTAAAAAGCTGCCTCTCTGTTCTTCCCTCCTCACACTGAGTAAATCCCAATGGCAAACTGAAGGCCTAAATAATTGGGACTACCCAAGAACGAAGATCATAATTTCCCACCACTGAGGAAGAGGCCAAATAGCTCCTGGAGGGAACAGGAAGAATTGCTGCAACACCATGTGTTGAAAAGGTATTGAGGGTCTCTTAGGGTTTTCCTTTATTGCTTAGGCTATTAGAGTTATCCCTGGTAGAGTTGCTGGAGCTAAGGAATTGCAGCTTCTCTAAGGAAGAAAACCAAAATTACGGCCAGTCGTTGTGCCTGAAAGTTCTTTCTCCTATTATATACATTTTATATTTATGTAAATAAGTGCATTTAAATTATGAGAGATATCAAGGGTCAATAACTGTCCTATGAGCCCATGTAAATGATAGTGTTCATAATCATGGATTCAATTCTAAATTTGATTTTTTCCCTTTAGCCAATGTCCTCCGGCATTTGGACCAGGTGCTGCCCTGCCCTGTGGGGATCCATTTCCCCTGGAAAATGGGGAGATTTGGTGGGAAATCAGAATTTTGCCTGCAACGAGCACAGTCCTGACCACAAAACCTGAGTGCTCATCACGTTCAGCGCCTGCACTTACGACGTCGATGAGCTGGGCGATGGACAAGCCGAAGCGCACGAGCACCACGTCAGAGATGTTGGCCACGGGCCGGGACCACTTGTTATACCCGGAGAAGAGCTTCTTCAGGAGACGCTCCTCGGCGTGGGCTCGGGTCTCCACGTGGCCACCAGCTGGGGACAGGCAAAGAGGGCGGTGAGGAGCACGGAGGTACCACCCCCCCTRGGACACCCCTTGTCCACCCAGTCCCTGGTCACCGCTGCACCCACCACAGCTGAGCCCCAGCTCTAGCACTTGCAGGTGCGGTGGCTGCTAAAGCCAGTGGAAAAAAAAAACACAACACAGCTAATCTGCCCCAAATGCCATTTGTGATTCTTCTGAGCCACGTTGCTAGCCTGGAAGCATCACAGAGGGATGCTCGCTCTGCTGGTCTTGGGGCACAAACAGGGGGAGCAAAGCAGGCTGCTAGGGGTGCTCAAAAGCTGGAAAGGAGAAAGGAGCTTTTCTCCAGCAAAACATGGGCTTTTTTGGATATGCACATGAAAGATGGGCTCAAATATATTGGGGAGAAAAAAAAAAAAAGCAAAATGGTTAATAAGCAGAAAATAAARGCAAACCATAGTGAGTAAAGGCTGGCATAAAGGGACAGGAGGGTGCATGAGTGGGGGAAAAGCCTTGGTGCAAAGGAGAGGGCTTCCTTGCAAGCCAGTGGCAGGGAGAAGAGCAGGAGTCAAAACAGYCTCATCCAACTCACCGGGGAAGACGCTGGCACACAGGAGCAGGAGGAGGTTTCTGTCGGACACGCGAAATCCCATGGTGGAGCTGAGCTCGGTCCCTAGTKCACGGAGTCTCCCAACAGGGCAACTTTCCCTTCCCGAGTCTCCGGAYGCTCCAGCTTCATTCCCTTAAGCTGCTCCTTCTCCCTCTTCCCCCCGGCATGAGCGGGGCAGGAGAACCGGTCCCTCCCTGCCCTTTTCCTCCCCCCCGGGGGATGCTCTTCCCCGGGGATGGGCAGGGGCTGCGGGCAGCCCTTGGAGCCCGGCACGTGCGGAGTCTCCTGCTGCTCCGCTGCCTTCCCAAGCTGGGCTGCTCCCTCGCCTTCCTGCTGCCGCCTCCTCAGGGTGGTCCGGGCTGCGCGGAGCAGCCGGCAGCGCCCGGGGAGGGTTGTATATTTAATGCATGCGGACCTGCCCACCGCCTGCTCACGAGGAGGAGGAGGAGGAGGAGGAGGAGAAGGAGAGAGGCTCTGCGCTCCGGCTGCCGGGGAGGAAAACTTTCAGCGGGAGAATAATCGGGATAGGGGGACCCAGGCTGCCAGAAGGGGCAGATTTGGGGGTCACTGGTGCCCTTCCATAGCCCCTGAAGTCCAAGCAGCTCCGTGCACTGATGCTCCTGCTCAGCCGCTCCAGAGCAGGTGCTGTCACAGATCACCCCGTGGAAGGGGTGAGGATTATCCGAGAGGGAAGGGCTGCAAGGCAATGACCAGCCCTGCAGCTCCGTGCACGGGAAGGGAAGAGCGGAGCCCTCCCTGCTCCCGCCACAGGGAGCTCTGATGTTCACACGGTCATTTCCCCACCGAGAGCGAGCGGGTTTCATTCTGAGGAGGGGTGATTTTGCCAACTGCAGAATTAATCAAAGCCTGTTCCAATAGCAACATGTTTCATGCTTAATAATTTCCCAGAGAATCTCAGATAACTTCCAACAGATGAGACTGATGGCTGGAAATGGGCAGGATTAAAGCAACCAAAGAAATTAGGTCTGTAGCGAGATTATGAGTAAAATCAGTGTTGCAGCAAACTCTTCTCATTGCATCTTGTTTCATTGCTTCCTCAACAGTTGTCAGCCTTTTTGCATTACCCGCATTTGTTTTTTCCTATTGGAAGTACACATTTCCAGGTGATTTGTCTTTGATGGCAGGAATTGCCAGCTGAGCACCTCTCATTTGCACCCAGCATCTGAGAACRAGACACACTATAATTGTCTATAGGGTGACCATAAAGTCTGTATGTGCTACCTCACTGAAGCTGACGAGTGTCTGTAAAATGGGATTTGCACTGGATGTCTGTAAAACAGGGTTTGCAAAGGCCATTTTTCAGGGGTTAGTGCTCTGCATAGGTCATGCGTTGGGCAACYACACTCCAGGGACCCCAAATCAGCCAGTCCCTTTGGAAAATCTTGGATATCAATTATAGAGGTATCCTTGACTACGGGCCTTTCTGTGCAGAGCAATTCAAATCCCATGGACATACTCCATCCATCTTCACCCTGCATCAGTTTCTGTGCTGGTGAGCAAGGAAGCTGGCTGGCAAATACTGCCTTTAAATTAACCCTATAAATAACATTGATTAAAAATGGATTTCCTTCTTTTGGAAATTAAACATAAATCATCATATCCTATTAGTGAGAGGTTCTTCCCTCACCTCCCTGGCCTTATTTTTATACGTCAGGGAAGGAGTATATTTTACAGAGGTTTCTGCGCCTTAAGTGACCTTGTTAAATCTCACTGCCTGTTTCTTTCTGCATCATTGGGCCATAACAAAATTTCCATCAGCTCCTCGATGTTTTTGGAAGGCAATGTTTTCCACCAGTACACGTGCTGGGGCCTCAGCCTGACTGGGACAAAAGATGCAATTTAAGGGGTTTAATGAATTTTTATTGTGGGAGAAAGCCGCAATTCTAGCCTGATTCTCAGGCACCCAGCTCTGAGCCTCATCATCATTATTATCTTCCATTGTTGGGAAAAGATGTGGATAATACGGGGAATCCAGATGTTCAAAAAACTGGATCTGAACCACCCCGCTACAGAAGATTGAGCTCAACATAATAAAGGCAGCGTTTCCTCCAAGCTTTTCAGTGAAATCTCAGGCTTTTTCTTGGAATACTGAAAGAAGGAAAGAAATCCACCCTGTGCAGGGGCACGGAGCCAGCCTGAGCTGTACGGCCGGGGCACCCGAGGGCCGACTGCTTTCTTTGAACTCACTTCTCTTGCTCTTCTCGGTCTGCGCTGCTGCTGCCAGCTCTGCAGGGCAAGTCCTCGACCCGGTGCTTGCTTTGCAAAATGTCACGGGAATGTTTGGATGCACAGAAACAGGACACAGCAATAATTGTAATAGCAATATTGCTAATGATGCCCCCTGCTTGTAATTTTTCCTATCTATTTGGGCTTTGCACAGGGGACAAAGAAAATTAATGGGAATGTGGGAAAATACTCTGYATTCAAAGCAGTCTCCCCTCCAGATCTGATTTCTTTTCCCTTGACTCTGTTCCAGTGGTGAAGCAAAATTCTCCCTCTCCTTGCTGACAGCTTCCTTGTCATCAGAGATTTCAGGTGGAGAAGCAGCAGCAAGAGTGAAGCCAAGAGGAAGGGCGACCTGTGCTCCGAAACGGGCAGCGAGGAGGGACGTGCGAGGCCGTGGCTGGAAAGCCTGGGCTCCGTCTGCCTCCGGGGAAATCCTCRCGGCACTGCTGCCTTCCCAGGGGTGACTGGTTTGTTCTGATGTGTTTCAGATTTTCTGTGGAGTGTCAGAAGGCATCGAAAGACACTTTGAACTGCATYAGACCCAGGCACTGCAGAGGAGCCTTCTGGCCATGGGTGGAAGCCGAGACACCTGTATGGAGTCAAAATGATGGATGAAAAAAGCAGGCATAGGTAGTGCTTGCTTTCGAAGCAGTAAATATGGTCATGGGTCTTTTAATGGCAAGATATGAAGCTTCCCTCCAGCTGAAGCACCAGGCTGGAGCTGGTGGTGCAGCCCAGACCCCCACAGACACTGCTAATTTTCACCTTCTGCTGAGGAATCTCGTGGAGATGGCTCCAGGCAGTGGAAGAACAAGGGATGTTGGTAAATTGGGTTTCAGAGCCTGCAGATCTTCCTCTTGACATCCAGGCCCAGCCATATTCCCACAGAGGATGAATCCACAGGTCCCATGCAGAGCTCTGTCGCTGTGGAAAATCAGGAGCCCCACGGAGAAAGACCAAGCCAAGAGATTTGACTCTATGTGAACACAATCGTTGGGATTCTTGGGGTGCTCCATCATCCAGGCCCATGGCAGCCCCCAGCTCCGACCATGCCGAGATGTTCCACGGCCACGGAGCCTCACAGCAGGACCCGTCTGCTAATGCAATCGCTCTCCCTCCTCTCCGTGAGCTGATTAGGATTTGAATCCAAGCGCAAGAGCTCTAATGCATTAAGCTATTGTGTTTCCTTGAAATCCTCAYGCATTACTGAGCCGGGAGCTGAGCTCCTTGCAGGATTAGCTCCATAATAAAGCTCCGGGGAACCTCAGATCGTGTTTACGTCTGGGTGGGCTGTTGCAGAGCAGGGGGAATTCTCTCATCACCTTGTCGTTGCTTTATATCCTGGTGGGTTCCCACCTCTCTSCATGATGTGGTGATGGTCTTTCTGGCAAGTGATGCTTGGTGAGAAGTTGCTCTAATCCAGGCACTTCTTTTACTCTGTATTTTCTCCATTTCTTGTTTCTTCCCCAGTCAGCCAGACATGTCTTGTGGGTATCTGAACAAGACTCATTATTATTAAGTCAACAAGGAAATTGTGATTCTGGCCTGCTAAAAGCAAACAAAATGTGCCACTCTCTGAAAATGGAAGGGCAGCAAATCAGTAAGTTAAGACCTCATTACAGCAGGCAGGCCTACAACTGTCGGAGACTTCTTGTTACAAATCAAATGAACCTCAGCTTCTTMTTTGTAAATGCAAGACATTATTGTAAAGAACACAGAAGGAGCAAAGAGGCAGCCTTAGCTTCCCTTGAGATCCAAGAAGATAGATTTTAAATTAGAGAACAGAAGCACTTCTCTCCAGACAAGTTTGTTCTCCAAGGATGGCTTTGGTTTCACTGCTTAGCTTTGTAGATCTAAATTAGGCTCTTGTCCTTCCTCACCAAAGGGCAAATGCTGCCTAATTTATTCACTTAAAAAAAARRAAAAAAAAGATCCAGAGTTGAGTAGTTGACAAATCTTTCCCTTATTTTCCCCCATGAGCAGTGCTAGCTCCAGCTCACGTYTTCCCAAGCAGTACAAACCTTCCAGAGATCTCTGTGCTCTGCACAAGGCAGGACAGGGTGACACTGCAGCTCAGATGGGCCGTGTGGGGCTCTCACTGTCCCTCTGGTCCAGAAAACAGGAGCTGGAAACATCTCCAGCCATCCCAGGTGAATCAGTGGAGCTCCAGAGGTGCAACCCTCATGTAAAGCTTCCAATTTAAATGTAGACAGCACTGGAAGACACGCGAAGACAGAGTTAGTGCCCTGCACAGAGGGCATTTTGGCCAGGATGGAGAGGACAGCAAAGCACTCCAGGCTGCCTGATCTTTGTATCAAGGGTCCTGATGTGATTTCTACTTCCAGACCCTTTCCCTGCCTGTTGTGTTGGCAGGGATGAGGCTCAGCAGAAACGAGCTCTSCTCCACACTTACCTTCAGAAACTCCAGGCTCCCACCCGGTGCCCACTTCAGTGTGAATGTGAATTGTGTCCTTCATGCAAAAAAACAACATTAAAAGATGCAGACAGTGCTGAAAACTTGGTCACAAATATTGTGCTTGGCACAAAGCGTTGCCCATAAATATTTTCTTGGTTAACCAATAGGAAATGATTGCTCTTAAATCTCAATTACTTCTGAGTAGTAACTGGCTCGCACTGCTTGGCACTGGGGTCCTGCTGCGCTGGTTTGGGAAATAAGGCTGCTCTCCTGCAGCATCTTTGCTTCTTGCAAGCAGCCTTGAAGTGATGGTTTATATCATCATAAAATATCTGGCAATATCTGGAGTTCAACAGCTTTTTGTCCTTGTTGAGAATTGAAGGGCTGAAATTAAAAAAAAAGAAAAAAATACTATGTACTTTGTTAAGCTCAGACCAAAGGGTGTCTGCAGTGGGAGTTTGCAGTGACAGCTCTCTTCCAGGTTCTTCTGTTTCCATCAATCAACTCTTTGCTGGACGGATTCATTCATATGTAGCTGATAGACATCCTTAGGAAGTGAATCTTTGATGCTGCTGTCCAAAGTTGGGAGAAAAAGTGTTTTCGAGAAATCTATGAATTTCTGTTTGCTTGTTTGCCTTTTCTTGCTTTACTGTGTTAATGCCACCAACCTGTCCAGTAGACCACAATACCAAGGCATCTAAAATCGCTTTTGATACTATAGAATTTACACTGAAAAACACTGAGGAGTGCAAAGCATCATCTTATTTTATGAATGCCAGAGAAGCTTGGACCAAGTTCATCATACAGGGACCTGATKCAGGTCCTCTAAGGGCATTTCTGTGATGTGGCCCTAAGGAGGTGGAGAGCAGGCACTCCAAGAGCTCCTCACTCTCCTGGACATCTGAATTAGGGTCAAAGATACTTTGCTTTCCATGGACCACAGCACAAAATCTCTTTTTGAGCCAATAAGAATGTCTATTGCTGACCAGAGAAGCAGCATCYGGCTGTTTTCTGTGTCTGTCTCCCACACTTCTGTACCTTTGGGCTCAAACTTTCCTTCTCTTCATTGAGAAACACACTCGCTGCTGGCAGGCCTGCATGAAAAGAAACAGCAGCCATCTGTTCCTCCCACGGTTTTCTGGATCACAAGGGCTTTGTTGATTAAGCTTTTCCAAAGCATAAATGTTAGGCCCCCATCTCCCACTGATTTCCAAATAGCTCCCCTCAAAAAGTACATTTTCTTACGCTGCCTTCAGAAGTCCTGCACATTAGTAACAGTCAGGCACTTACCTGGGACCAGATTCTTGTGCAGTCTGTCATACGGGAGTCATTTGCAGAGCAAGCACTGCTCAGTCTGAAAATAGGACTATAAACACTTGTTTTTCCCAGCATAAATCTCTCAGACCTCAGCCACGCTATGGTCAGGAAACCACTGCACCTACTACTTGCTCCTTAGGAACTCAACTAATTTTTTTGYGCTTTTCTTTAGGTCCTGTTCTACCACTCTGAACACCCAGAAGAGAAGCTCAGGGCAGGGATATTTATACCTGTGCTGCTTCCCATTTCACCAGTGAAGATGATTGATTGGGCTGGAATGACTATAATTAACACACACACATTGTGCTGAGTACAGAGCTTGGAAAGCGCCTGAAGATACGTTGATGTGTTTTGTTCCTCACTCCATTCTTCTCCGCCTGGCACCGCTGGGCATCCCATATGGCTCATTGTCCGTCCCCGGGCCAGCTGAAAGGGAAGCAGGTCTGATTGACACTTCAAAATACCAAGTTGTGCCTTTGGGCTGGCTYGGGCTGAGGATGCTCTTGGCAAACRGAAACCATCCTGTTTTTATTCCACTCTTCAATGGGAAGACGGTATTTTCTRCACTGAACAATASACATAGAAGTTTGTTCTCTACAGGGATAAAATATCCCTCTTTTGGTCTCTGATAACCTATTTCCAACTGGAAATGGGCTTCAGATGAGACATTCAGCTCTGAATAAAACCTAGAGGGAATAGAAATCCATTCCCAGTTCYGGTGTATGATTAAAGATCAAATGCCCCTCCCTTTACAGAGCAAGATCAGACTCTTGACAATATGTTTTTGCAATAGCAAAACATATTTTGCAATAACTTTGAGGAATGTCTTTTTTTWAAAAAAAAAATATACGCTTCCTGAAAGCATAATGACCTGTCTCTATTATTGCTCTGATAGAGCTATATATCCAAGCTAGATATAGAACTATATATCTAGAATTAGAACTATATATCCAAGCCCTCAGAAAAAAACTTAGTCCATTGCTTCAAATACAGGTTTTGGAAACCTATGGAAAGGAAAAAAAAAGACAACGCAGGCTGCGTTCACCAGTGTAGATATGGATAAGCGAGCTGTAAAACAAAACCACTKTCAGCAGCAAAGTTGATCGTAAACTTTAATTGTTTCTCCTGTAATCCCAAGGGAAATATTCCAGGGCAATCAGAGAGGTGTTAATCGCTGGACTGCACAGTTGGTACAAAGAAAGGCAAGGCAGGCTCAGGTCATCCACCCCGCTGTCCTTCTGCAAGGGCCTCACAATAGAAAATCTGCAATCCTCAAAGCTTCTTGGTCACAGTCTCATTACTGGMAGAGGAACAAAATCAGGTGCCTGGAAGAAGAAAATGTTGAAATCTCAGGCAGTTCTGGGTTTGCGGSATGAAAATATTGGTGGATGATGGGCTGTTTYCAAGTAGGAGCTCTTGAGTTTGATCCTATGGCCTAGATACATTAACATCCATATAACATAAACTCCTTGAGCAACATGATTTCTGTAAATGGAAGTGACAGCAAAGAGACAGCTCTATACAGCACGGAGTGAAAATCAATTAGCTATAACAGCCAATATTAAAGAGGACAGAGCTGTTAAAGGCCGTGCCACCAGGACCTGATTCAGCAAAAGAAGCCTTTTTCCTCTATATTGAAACCTTTCCAGCAAAAGCATTTCCTTCAGTGTGTCCTTGGTGCCACAGCAGCATCGCCCGTCTTTCTTCTTAGTGCAGACTCAAATCACCGAGCTGAGCTTTGCGTTCTGCAAGGAGAACAAGCCCAGACGACTCAAAGTATAAACGAAAGAATCCCCAAACATGAATTACTCTGCAGAAAAAGCAGGAGGTATTCTTAAAAAAAAAAAAAAAAAAGATTAAAAATGCTGTTGATATGACTTTGCAAGGCGGGTGATGAAATCCTGAGCCCCGGCAGCCCAGGTTCATCCCTTTGCTCAGCACTCCATGCAACTCTCTGCTCCCGCCGCTCGGACACAGAGGCATCTCCCGAGGCAGCTTCTCTGCTGTTATTCATGGAGTCACATCTGGTATCCRTGAGATACTGGCCCTTTTCGGAGGGAAATCGAGCTTAGAAAACCCAACAACTGACCACATTTCATCCCGGCTTGTTCTAGTCTGGGGAGTGCTATTTGCTGGAATTGGGGGAAGCTTCCTACATTTGAAAATCCTTTTTTTTTTCCTTCTTTTTTTCCTTAAAGAGTTGATAATTTTTTTTTTCCATTTTCTCCTCCTCTAGACAAAGTACTCTGCAATTAATGAAACTGTATTTTGTGRGTTATTTGCCTTAAAGCCCCAGCTCTGCAAACAGCCCAAGCCATCGTGGGCTCCCTCTATTCACCAAAGGCAAACACAAAGGTATAAATTATGCAGGCAAAAAAATCAATGAGGTTTCCRAAGGGGGATTCACTGAGACTAGTTCTGAAGGCAGAGCCTTGCTCAGCTCAGTTACAACCAGTGACTCACTAGCACATATCACACCAGCCTAGGAGTCTATTATAAATCAAGTCAGGTCCCGTGTAGAAATGATGTTATTTTAATATTGCAGTCATCCCAGCAAGGTGTAAATTGGGACGTTGCAAGGAATGGTGTTGCCCGAGGCAAGCTATCAGTCTTGTGGAAGGCGGCAGGAGGTCATTTTGCAGAACAGTCAGGATGAGAGCAGGCAAGGGGCTGACACAAGGCTGACTATTTCCATCAGGAACCCAACTGCAGCATCCAAAGGTTCAGTCAAAGATAATCATTGCTAGGAAACAAGAATATCTGTCCAGAGCCATAGCAACACCTTCTTACCAGCAATTCCCTGAACCTTCTAGGAATGGTTCACTCTGGATTAGCAACTCCACTTCTCGGTGTTTATCCAAGTTGGAAATATCTTTATCCGAACAATCTCGCTGACATSCACACAAGTTAACAGGGAAAGCAGATGCCAGCAAAAACAGCCACTGCAAAGATTTCTGCTTGGATGGGATGTGAGGAATTCTGCACTGCTGCTCCCTGTGTGTCCCTTGGAGCTGTGCACACCCTTTCCACGCATGTGCGTCAAGTTATGCAGCTCTACCAAGATTTCACCGGTTGACAGGGACAAGAGCACCCTCAGAGACACAGCACTGCTGTTCGTCATCACATCTGGAGACTTCTCTGGCAGAGGTTGTTGCCTGCGAGCAAAGGATGCAGAGCTGGTTTTAATGAGAGCAGAAAGAAATGACAACTAGAAAGCCTGAATTAGTAAAGGATGCACAAGGGAGGCTTTGTAAGCCTAAGTAGAGGTAAATAGAAACCCTCCAAAGTCATCTGCCAAAGCCCTGCCCAATAATTATTGCCTGTTGAGGGCCTAATCACAGGTATTCTCTAGCAGGAGTGGTAGTTTATTCAAGGAGATAGTGATATATTTATTTTCAAGGCCAWTTTTTTTTCCTCTTGACTTACAGTGTGCTGCAGCACTTAGTGTTCTTATTTCCTTCCTTTTCACAGCAAAGGCACTTTCCTGAGGAGGTGATGCACAGCACCCTGACCTCACCAGACAGCTTTCACTTGCAGTTTCTGCAGCACARAAGCACTGAGGAATCGAGGTGCTACTCCTAATCCGGGCTGTGCTCTTAGGCTGAGGTTTATTCCTTCCGTGAAGGCTTGGGGAAGCCACGGTGAGCAGAGTCCTTTAGGAGAGAGGAAGAAAACGAACGTCAAAAAATCTAGGCGAGAACAGAGGTTGCTTGGGGGCATTTGCTGTGTAGAGGGATGGACAGCATTGCAATAACTTTTGCACTTGATTCTAAATACAGCTGATGTGGTTTGGAAGGAGCAATTACTCACCCAGGTTGATGTTCATGCTGCACACGAACCAAACTGATAAAGGAAAATAAGGCACGTGTGATGGCTTCACCCCTGCTATTTCAGTGCTGAAAGCATTTGATGCATTTTGCTGTGCGACTCTGATTTAAATCATGGGACTCGCACCTCTGAACCATGCAGATATCTTGAATAGTCAGCTCTCCCTGCAAAAAAAAAAAAAAAAAATTTTTTTTGTAGGATAAGTCACCCTCTAGGCTGCCTGTCCTTGCAAGGAGAAGAGCAGAAAAGTTTAGACCTCTTGGGGCTTACATAACCTCCACAGCAAACCTCCTTTCCACGTGCCTATCTGGAAGATACGCAGCAAATACAGAGGGGGCAGCAGTGCAGCTAATTAAGCTCTCGGAGATGTGGATGCTGGAAGTCTAATAARCTCCACAGCTCAGTGATGTTCCTACTGCAAGGGGGGATAACTTAAAGTCGGTTTGATGAGGATCTCATCCGCAGTGCACGAGGCTCCAGAGAGGTGCCCAGACTTCCCCTTTCATCAGGGAAATGGCAGGGAGCTGCAGGGAAGATAACACCCCGGCRTCCACAGGGTCCTGCTGGGCAAGGTGCTATGTTTTCCTGTTAAAACCAGGCATCTATTATTTAGCTCAACTTTGCAGCTATTTCTGCCRGATGTTCAGCCTGGAAATCCCATCCCCAGTTCACTTCAGGTTTAAGAGCTGGTTTAGCAGGGAAACACCCAGGCCACTCTTGGTTGATGCGGTCTATGTGCAGGGAACCCACACAAAGCCCATGTTCCTCRGCACAAGTTTTGCACTCCTGAAACTTAGGACACTCCTCCGTAGCAGGAATGTTGATAACCAACAGGAATCCGACTTTAAATCTTGAAAATAACAACTTTTCGAAGCTAGAAGGAAAAGATCGGGCACTGAGGAGGAGGAGGAAGGCCAGACCCCACCTAACCTAACCCGGCTACACTGATTCAGGCTCAAGATGCTGAACTGGAGGTCTCCTGGTCCAACACCTACAATCATCTTCCACAGGCAGAGAAACACTTTACCAGCTACTCATCTCCTAGCCAGCTGGGTAGACAGTGGCTACATAAGTGGATTTATTTAAATAYACAGCAGTAAAAATAAACCTTCCCTTCTTCCTCAAATTTAAAACCAAAACGTTATCTTAGCACCGTCTCTGTACGAAGGAGTCAGCTCCTGTTCTACCCATATGTAAGCAAGGATGATTTAAAAATATTTTTTTTCCAAGATTAAATATATATATATTTTTTACCAAAAGCAAGTCTTGTGTGTCTGAGGTTGTCCTAGACTCAGGCGGATATAATTGCAATAATGTTTCTCCCACCTAATTTAATCTTATCCATATCCCCTCACTTTCTGCTCCCACAGGAGCATCCTCCCACCACTATCAATTGACATTTAGTATTTTTGGTGTGACTTGTTTGTGCCTGGCTTTCTTTCTTTAAAATGAGCAGAATATCCAGCTTTAAAAAATAAATAAATAAATAAATAAATAAATAAAGGGAAAAAGACAAACAATATTATGCTGGGAGGAGAAGAACAATTAAAATCCTCTTATTCCCTGAAGCTGAATAAGAGCCACAGAGCTCATTTCACTTGTGTGTTAGCAGGATGTTTTGGGGTTTTTTTTTTTCCAAAATAAAACATGAAATATAAATCAGCCATTGACATTTCTCCTTGGGGAGCGAGAGCAATGAAGTGACATATGACAGATGGCAGGAAAGTGACAGCACACTTTGCAAAGCTGCTCACATCATTTGTTGACAAGGAGAGTTTAAAAGCTTGAGCAAAATAAGGTATTTTTGCTCATGCATTTAGTCAGCTACTGCTTAGCTGCTTTTGTGGCAGTTTGGGGCGGAAAGCTATTTAAAGTCTATGAAGATTTAAAAAAGAAATAGCTCTGGGATGATCATTTTCTTTAAAGTCCAAGTTGTGAATAAATGATAAGGCATTGCTGTAACATCTTCTCCGGGATAAGGCTTGAAAGCCAACACAGGAAATTGTTTAAACAATCATAGCTCTACTCAAAAAAAAAAAAAAAGCTGGGGGAACACAAACTTCAAAGAGTTTCTGCTGCCTCCTGAAGAAAACTTTGGGGGAACACAAACCTAAGTTTTCTTCAGGAGGCAGCAGAAACTCTTTGAAGTTTGACTTCAAAAAAATCACGGGCTCTTTTCCCTGCGAGAGCAGCGCTCAGAGCCCGAGCAACGAGCAAGAGGAAACTTCAAATGGGACCAAATGGGATAGGGGACAAATGCGGTGGAACTGAACTTCAAAGCCCAGCCCACCTCTTCTGAAGCTCAAAGCAACTGCAGCACAACTCCTGCATTTCTTTACACAYGCTAGTTCTGCAGTTATTTGTAAAGCCCTAATCTGACTTGGGTGAGARTTAATATTTTGCCTTCCCAAATCCTCTTGCAGTCCTGGCTTGTGGAAAAGCCACGTTCATCAGGGAGATACCCTTGTGTCTTGCTGTATAATTTGCTTAATATATTTGTATTTCTGACTAACCAGTGTTCTCCCGTTGGGGTGATGTGCTTTGCCATGAGCTTAGGTAATGTTTGCTTTCAAGTGTTATTTGTTTCTTAAGTCTAGATGTTAATACTGGTAAAAGAGAGTCAAACGCAGCTTGTCTGAACGTAACCCTGAAACTCTGGAAATGATGGTGCCYGAGTTTATCCCATCACTTCCATCCAGAGACAAACAGATTTGGGTCATCCCAGGCCAGTCAGAAGACAAGCCATTGACAAGAGGTCTTCAAGAGCTCTAYGAATTTACAGCCATCGTGGAGCACAAATCAGCCCCCTCATTTGTGAGAACCAAGCACCTGCAACAGCAGTGGTAAGGCAGAGCTGTCAGATAAGGCAAAACTTTCCAGGCTATTTCAATGCCACTCTCTTCAGCCCTCTAACCAAGCCTGAAGTTTGTTCGTCATCTTCCTTCTACTCCCTTTGTCATGAACTTAGAGATTCATTTCACATATTTCACCTGTTCTACAGCTTTGTTGGTTTTGCCTGTAAAGATCTAGCAGGCCCTGCTCTTGCCTACAAACAGAAATGAAGCAGGCRTTTTTCCATGCCAGCTGAGGAGCTCTAACTTCTACCAGCTTTGCATGGGAAGGGCTACAAGCAGATGGTTTCAGCATCTTGCCTGAGGGTAGGTGAGTGCACTAAGCTGTCTTCCAAGGTCCCAGAATTTCCTGCCTTCCCTGCTCTTCAAGGAGGCAGCTCACACCATAAGACCTTCCCAGGAGGTTTCTTTCTAACAAGGATAATCGTACACAAGGCCCCTCTGTACTGAGCAGTCTTGACTGCTCAGTTCACCATCACCACCTCCTCTTTCCAATGGAGAGGCTCTTYCAACCTCTTAACAGTGAGGGTGTCAGAGCCCTGGAACGGGCTGCCCAGGGAGGTTGTGGAGTCTCCTTCTCTGGAGATCTTCCAAACCGGCTTGGACGCAGCCTGTGCCACATGCTCTGGGTGACCTTGCATGTGCAGGAGGCTCGACTGGATGACCYCTGAGGTCCCTTCCAACCTTAAGCATTCTATGATGATAGTAAAAGTTTAATACATTTATGGGGTTTTTCTACAGCACCTAGCATATATCTCACCACAACACGAGGCAGTTGTGCAGCTCTGARTACCATCAGGAGAAGGGTTGCACAGAACCAGCTTCCCTAGGTAACAGTTTCCTGGAGGCTGCTGGAAGAGCAAGTTTTGGGGTATTCTGCATTGCCAAACCTTCCCATGAGGGTGATTTAGAGAAAAGTCCGTCTTGCTCCACAGAGAGTCATATTTCCACACCCMAGGGTCAGAGCAGAGCGATAACAAGCCCGTGCTTTGATTGCAGATCTGCTGCTGGCTGCATCGCAGTCTCTGATGGTGCAATTACCCTCTGTAAATAGAGAGAGCATGCCACGTATTCCTTAGCACGTCTTCTCCACTTAAATGCTTTTTGATTACTACCCTTTCTTCTTGTCCACAATTCAAAGCCTGCATAACTCTGTATGGTAATTGTTTTACCCAGAGATAATTAAAATTGTGGAGAAATTGTAATTCTGAAGCCTGTCTCACTTTGAAAACGGAGCTGGACCCTGGGACCTTCCCCACCACGATACACGTAGCTGCCCTATGGCCTCTCACATCCCCTCATCACCCTACACACTACAATGAGCAGGTCCTCTGAGTACCTGAAAACTCAAGCCAACTTCTCTTTAATTCAGCAGGGACTCGCAGTACCACCTTTGAGCTGTGAGTTTCTGCGACTCAGGACCACCTCAGTCCTCAATCTTCTCTCATGAAGTATAACAGATCCTTCTTTCCAAGTAGTTTTTGATTTAAAAGGCACTTCTCCTCAGGTGATGTGATTCATCTTGGGCCCATCTTGCAATTCAAACAAGGCATCATTGGCCTCCCTATCACCACAGGGCTGCTCTGGTAGAGAGCAGTGAGAAATCTTGATTCTCCGTGGCATAACTAGGTCTCACAAGAGGAAGCACCTGGTTTGCTAATGAGCAATGGAAGAATGGCATTAAGCCCACTGCAGACATGCTGTCTGACTGACAGACAGCACCAAAAAACGGGTATTCTGAAGTAAACCCCCAGCCAAATAYTTGTCACTTGTTGTTCTATAGCTTGGAAAGCAGAGACTGTGCTGACCCTCAGATAGTCATAGCTTAAGGGTTAGGAAGACTTATTAACTAGAGCTTAACTTCAATGAGGGGCCAATAAAACAGGAAAGCTAAACAAGCTGCTGCCCTAGTTGGAAGTACAAGTCCTGATTTTTAGTCCCCTGGGCCAAGGCTCCATGCCCTGCTCTGTGGTGACATATCAGCTCTGGGTTTGTTGGAACAAGTCTCCTCACTGCATCTGGAAGCCTCATGCATCTCACCCTCTCAGTRGCATAGCAAAATTTGCAGTTCCTTTGGATGAAAAGAAGCCAAATTGCTGCGAGAAGAGGGAAGGGAAAGCCCAAAGCAGCTCTGAAGTGAAGTCCCCAGGTGCTGTTTCAAACAGTGCTGGCAAAAACACCCCTTGGTCCCAGTGGTCAGAGAATGGACTATGCCCTGACTGCAGGTGTCAAGTGGTATTAACATCCTATCGTGTCTGTCATCTACAAGGCATCTAATTTGTTCCGACATCGGGTGAAGATGTTGCCTGCCCTTCACTCCCTCCCACCTCCACATTGTTAATACATTTTTTCAGCAGTTGCTCTGGAAAACAGCTATGTTGGTTGAGAGGACTGAGTGTAGAAGCTGAGGAAGACAGTTAACCACAGCTAATTGTATGACATATTTAAGCCTTGGTGCAAAATCTGGTCTTACGAGTCACATTCCCATGGGATGGGAGGGAGTTGCACTGCTTTTGTATAGCAGTGTGTGTTCGAGCAATAAATGTTCCCATGTCTCTTACYTGCCTGACTCTACAGCAGCCTATAAAACACAGGATATGCTGCTGCCACCTCTTTTTTATTTAATATCTGGATTCATTTGCATGCACAATTAGTGAGGCTGATGTCAACAGGAGCTATTCTTAGCACAGGACAGGCAAGCTGGGATATTAAGTAAATACACATATGTTAGACAGCATTCACGTCAATCAAATATTCCAGCTCCAGCCTTGGCAGAAGGCAGATACAGGTTTTAATGTTATTTTTCTTCTTTTAGTTGCCAGCTGAAACTTAAAGTTGTAGAGAGCCAAAAGTAAAGGGTGCTCAGAAGCATCTGGGCTGTTAAAGCAGTCCCACGTCTTCAAGTGGAAGCAATAGTTTATGGCACTGCCGTGCTGGGGACAGCAACTTGGGGACAACCAGTCCTGAGAGGGGAAGGGCACGTCCTCAAGATGTGCAATGCAAGGTCTGCAGCAAGCGTGATGGATGGGCAAGGACATCAAGCAAGGGCAACGACATCAAGTGAGTGCAATGACAGCTCATGGAAGTTAGCTCCATGGTGGGATGAAGGATGGCCCGGGTGCTGCTGGAAGCACCCAGGGTGCTGCAGGGGATGAGGCCCTTCATTTGCACCACTGGAACGGTGCCCAGAGCCCGTGTTTGGGAGCCGCACGTCAGCAAGAGGCAGCTATGTGCAATTTCTTGTCCATCTCCTGAATAATGATGGATTTACCGACCTTGAATCTAGCAAGGAGCACAGCACTTCCTGGTCTCCTGGCTCTTCATACGCACTCTCTCATTTAATCCTTATTTTGTCGCTATCCCAACCTTCTCATTCCAATTCAGCACAAAAAAGCAGTTATTGGTGCTGTTATTACGCAGTTATTGGAGAGCAGGAGTGCAGCGGTGCACCAACACCACCACGCTGCAGACTTTGCAGCCTCCCTTTGCTTTATGTTTTCCTCCTCTCCCTCGACTCTCCTCCCCGCCAGGTCCGAGCGGCCTCCCTGTCGCTTCCCCGTTGCTCTAAATCCTTTCCGACGTCTGCGCTTTTGTTCTGCTCCCTCCCGGCCCCGCTGGGACCCGCTGCCTTTTCTGTTTACACGCACGTCGCTGCTCATCGCGCRCCCGGCAAAGCACAGAAAAGAGCCCCCACGAGACCGCTTTTGTTTTGTTTTGCACAACAGACCGTCCTTTATAACAAAATAATGACTCAACAACACAGGAAAAACAGTGTCCGGACGGAGGAGCAGCCAGGTTTCCAGCTGGGGCCGCATCCTGCAGGCTGCCCAGCGCTAGGAGAGCAAACGGCCACGAGACAGAGATGGGAACAAGGCAGGRATAACTCAGGAGCACAGAGAGAGCTTTTGCTTTGCATCTTCCCTAGCAGATTCAGGGCACACGCATTGTCCACTCCCTCCTTTTGAAGTGTTAAGAGCCATATCAGCACATCCCAATGCYGTGATCTTCACCACTTCCTTTTGTTCTTGTCCCTTCCCTACTCTTATCCCCCTTTCGGAGGGTTTGCCCCACTCCTGCTATCTCCAGGAAAGGGGGAAGGTGCTGCATAACCCCATGAAGGGATGCATTGGGCTGACCCTTCTGCATCTCACAGGGTTTATGCCAATCTTCTGCCTTTTTATTTTCATTTTCTTTAAAATTATTATTATTATTATTTTTAATTCAACATATAGCATTAGGCCTGGCTTGGAATGTGGATAATCTCTGCTTAGAGTTTTTTGATCCATTTTCCCCAAAGATTAAAATAATCTCTCCTCCCCCAGCTGATCTCACCACACCAAAGGCAGATTATTTATCCCCCTCAACTCACCCAGTCCGGAGGCTGAGGAGTCAGGTTAGGCTTTGCACAAGATGCTGCAGAGCAACTCAAGACAGCAGGACAGAAAGAACAGAGACCTTGTGCTGGGAATCCTGCCTAAATACTGGTGGTTTTGAGGATTGTCTGCACCTGGGGCCAGGCAGATGCACCTGGGACTCAGAGCAATGCCCAGGCTGATCTGGCTTGCAGCAAATTGCCCTGCTAAGGGAGCACGGAGCAAGTATGGTCAGCACAGTCCTACCCCATGGCATCTGCAGCACTCTGCGTTATCTCTGCTCCTTAACTTGCCTGGAAAAAAAATATGTGTATATATATATATTTTATATATTTTATATATATATATTTTTATATATATATTTTATATATATATATATTTTATATATATATAAAAACTCTGCAGCACAAATATTCTGTCTGTTCAGCTGCAAAACGGTCACAAGCGCTGAGCTTGTCCTGGAAGGAAAAAGCAAATTCTCATGAAAACCCCTTGCCCTCCCAACATGACAGTCACTTGGGTTGCTCGTAAAGCCAGGCGCTGGGAATGGCTGGGCTTGGTGTGCAAATGTCCCCARATTTCTGGCTGAGCCAGAAAGTTTGCACCGTGTGATTGAGGGAATTGGAAAATTCCCCTTGGATTGATCCTAGGATGGTTTCTTTTCCCTCCTCCTGCTTTTATCTTCAGAGAGCCTCCTCTCTGCATATGCAGGGTCCCAGAGGGTAATTTGCCTGCTCACTGCTTGGGGAGGCTATTTAAACATATTAGTGCTGTTAGTGGYTCCCTATTTGCAGCACTCTTGGTTTTGCTAGACCTCTGTCATCCTGGAGATTGTGCACTAATCTTAATTAGGAAATGGAAGAGGAAAAGAGGGGGTTTTATCCTGCATTATTCCACTTTGATCTGACTCCTTCCCTTTCTAGGGAAAGAAAAACATTTCAAAGCCTTCCAGGAGCCGTGGTCTAATGGCAGTGACCAGAGGCACTGTTAGTCTTGCAGGAGAAGAGAAAATACAGGGGTCCGGGCAGCTTTTCAGACAGTCTAATGATGCCCTTCTTAGTAGCTAGCTCTGATTAGGCATATTTTTAAATTTGAGGTCATATGCATTTCTATAGGTAATTCTCAGAGAATGTGATGCTTTATTAGAATATGGTTTTTTGGTTAATGTTTTAGCCAGTTTTAACAGTTTTAGCCAACTTTTTGCTGTTTTGGAGGTGGGCTGAGCTGGGTGGCCCCATCCTGCTCTCAAACATTTGTCTAACCGGTGTCACAAACACAACGGGTTTAAAGACAGAGTCATTTGCCGTCTCTTCCACCAGGATGATCTTCTCCAGGGATGACAGTGGGTTATTTGGTACCCCTGGACCCTGGCACCTTCTGCAAAGGCAATGCTTCAAATCAGAGGCCACCACACGCACATTGAGCCAAGCAGTGCGAGGATCTTCATAGCCACTCTCATTATTCTGCTTTTTTAATTGTAAGAGGCACGATGGAAACTTCCTGGCTGCTGTGTCTGGTTTTGGTGCTCTTGTTTCGTGCTTCGCCGCTTTAGTGGCTCCGTGTCCTCCTTCCCGGGCTGCAAGGAACCTGCAGCAGCAATGCGTTATTAACAGCAGCTTCCTGGGCACCAGCAGTGCAGCCTCAATAGACCTGCACACAGTATTTCAGTACAGATTGCTTMTTTCTTCCTCTTTTTCTTCATTAACTGGTGTCAATAAGTTACACATGCTGGGCTGGGAGTTGCACTGGCTGCTGGTTTTGCTCCGAAGTTACTGTCGGTGATGGGCAGCTYGGTGACATTTCAGTTCATTTACTCAAAAATGAAAGATTTACTTGCTGCGAGATGGCCAAGTTGGGTTTTGCTAATCTGTAAACCAYGAGCCTTCATYTAAGATTTAAGAATAAAACAGAAGCACAGGTTGTGCTTGGCCTTTTCTTCTTTTTGAGCAGCCCAGTCGGTTCTCGCTGCAATTTCCCATCACCTCAATAAAAAATAGTGCCAGGGATTTCCAAAGGCAGGGAATATCCTACAGCAAAGCTCCCACTCAGAGMAATTCCTGTCGACTTCAATCTGGAGAGAACTGGGACAAATCCAGGCAYATGTAAAAGTCTCTGTCTCTCTAAGAAACCTGCTGTTGGCCAAACATCCTCAATCCTCCAGTTTTCCTCCTTCTTCTTGAGGACAATCCCAGATCTCTCCTCCCCTCCGATGACCAACATTGCTCCTTGCTAGGTAGCCCAAGCTGTGGTGGTTGGGATGTCCCTCTGCAGAGGAGAAGTTKCCTGTAGGAAGGAGCTCACTAATGATCTGCTAGCTGCCCTTCTTTCTAATGACAATTAATGCATGATAATAAATACGATTGCACAGAATAAGAAGGGTAGATGGAGGGAAACGGGCTGTCCAAAAGGTGGACAATCTTGTGGCTTCCAGGATGGAAGAGTTATGGGAAGAGGATTAAGGGCACACTGGATTAAGGGCTCCGTTCATTTCTCGTGGTAGCAGCAGCAGGAACGGGCAGTAACAAATAAGCCTCAGTTTGTCTGGGCTGAAGAAGAGCAATTTGGCAGGAAGGAAATTTCCAAGTTGTAATGATGGGGAAATAATTGGTAAGGGGCAATGTTTATGCCCAAGGAGCGGCCTGGGGAAGGGGGAACCGGCCGGCTGGTCTCCAGCGTGCGCAGCGGTGTCACATTGGAGCACATCACGGGAGCCGCAGCGGCTCCGCTGCGACACACCCCGATGTGACGGACGCTGGAGGATAAAGGACAGACCTGCCRTGTGAGGAGACCTGCAGCATCTTCTCCATTTCACCTCCCAACCTCACGGCAATTCCTTTTGCAGGATTTTTCTTCTTGTGTTGCAATTACCCTCCTGCAAAGGTTTGTCCTCCAAGGTGGGACCAAGGGCAACCTTCCCTACAAAATATYATCCCAAGGATTCCAGTGGTTTCGTGCAAACTTGCATTATCCAGCCCAGACTGAAGGGCTGAAGTTTCTTCTTACCTTCTGCTTTTTCTTATCAAGGCTTGGCCAGTACATAGGCAGCTGTGTTTAGAGGCTAAGTAGCAGATTAAGAAAACAGTCGCATGCTGTCCGCACTGAAAACAAAATGCTGGGAAGAGGGTAAAAATCCAGGTTTAGTATTGCTAAAGTATTGATTAGTTTAGTATTGCTGGCAGGGCCGACGCTCCCTTGCTCGCAACGGGCACCTCATCATGCAGGAAGAGAGATTCAGTTTTATTGCACAAAACCACTGCCACTCATCCCTAAAGTGTCTGGGGAACATAATCTTGCTTTTCCAGACTCTCATCTGCCTTGTATAAACAAAGCCTTGGCAAACATTTTGGCTGTGCCAGGAAGGTGCAAAGTGCAGATTACAGCACTTCTGCCTTGCCCCGTGCTTGGTGGGAGCCAGCATCTTGCTTGCACAGCCTCAAAAGCCTTTTCCCAACATGACTCTCCTGTTTACGACCTGGGATTCAATGGAAAACTTCTAGTATTACAGTGTGCAATCCTGGATCAGAATAACAGGGTGCTGAATGTAAGGAGCTCCCTGTCTGGACAGAGTCTTTGGAGCTCCTTCTTTGGAGCAAGCTACGGAGCAGTGACTGGCACATTTGGGAGGAGGCTGCAGCCTCCCTCCCTCCAGCTCCATGCCRACAGCTGGAACATGGGGACCCAGAGGCCCTTATCTCTGGAAAGAGAGAAGGATGCTCTTGGGCTCAGGGCTGAGAGCCGTAAGCAGTTCCCAAGGACTGGGAACCGTGCCATTGCRCCTTGTTCCACAAGGTGAAGATGAGTCTTGGAGACTGTCAATGATTCTGCAAAAACGACTGCAAATTCAAACTTGCCTCTCGTTTTGTGTTGCGTTTAAGGCAAGAGCTACAAGGCAGGTGTCTGACATAGGCACTGGGGGCAAAGGTGGAAGTGATAGGACACCCCAAACGCAAGCAGCACCAGGGCTGAGGTGGTGGAGCCTGTACRGGGAGCAGCCACCACTGGGATTAGCACCTCAATGGGAGACACCAGCATCTCCCACTCCAAAGAGAAGCAGGAATAACCACGGGAGCCCGGGGCCRTCACAAGCCACCTGCTTGCAACAGATAACTGTTCTGCTAGATTGCTTTGCGTGACTAGACGAGGCTTAAAGGATAAAGGGACAGGCTTTGTATTCAGGTGACTTAATCCACTTTCAAAACCAGCAAAAGCAACGATCTCAGCTGGTGACTTTCTCCAAGCTCTCACCGAGGGCAGGTTTTCCCTGGGACCYGTCCCAGGGAGGGGACTGGTCTTTTCCTGATTGTTTTCTCCTTCTCCTTCTTCTCCTCCTCCTTCYTCTCCTTCTTCTTCTTGTTCTTCTTCTTCTCCTTCTTCTCCTTTTCCCCGAAGGACTTCTTTGGCCTTTGGACAGAACTCTGCCGCTTCCTTCCTCTGCCCTCACTCTCCCTAAGGATCTTGGCACCTCACAGGCTGAAACGCAGATGGAAAAACACGGTCATTTTCATTTTACTTCTGGGGAGCAGAAAGTCAGAGAAACAAAATGACTGAGAGAAACAAATGACAAAAAGACCAATCCGTAGCAAAACAGAACCCCRGAGTCTCCAAAGCTAAGCCCTAAATTATGACTATTCTTGCCTGGCATGTCTTTAGTAGAAATAGATTCAGATCTGCAAATCAGCCTCCATTCGTGCTCAGTGCAGCATGAAATCCTGCTGCATCTCTGGAGATTTGGGCTGCTTGTGTGCAAGATCTGGCTTTCAGTTCTGGCTCCTGATTTTAATTTCCTATCGTATACAGGTGCTTGGCTCAGGAGCATGCTTTGCCACTGGCCCTGAATGCTAATTCCGAGCAAACGATATGAAAGAGCAATTGTAAATGTGATAACTGGGCATTGAGGGCTTGTGCTGGTGTCTCAGCTGATTGCAGCCTGAGAGCGCTCCTTTGCTTAAGTGGAAAATTAGCTGGAAAAAAATCATTAAAAAACCATTAAAATATGGTAGACATTTTCTTCAGACTGTTCCGATCATGACTGTGTTTCTTGATGCATTCCAATAA